GACATAAGTGTTCCTTCTCTGGAGTGTTTTTGACATAAGTGTTCCTTCTCTGGAGTGTTTTTGACATAAGTGTTCCTTCTCTGGAGTGTTTTTGACATAAGTGTTCCTTCTCTGGAGTGTTTTTGACATAAGTGTTCCTTCTCTGGAGTGTTTTTGACATAAGTGTTCCTTCACTGGAGGGGTATTCCTTCACCAGAGCGTAAGTGACATGGATGTTCCTTCCCCGGAATGTTAGTGACATGGGTGCTCCTTCACCGGAATGTTAGCTTCACCGGATTGTTTATGAAATAGGTGTTCCTCAACCGGAATATAAGTGACATGGGTGTTCCGTCATCGGAATGTAATTGACATGGGTTTTCCTTCACCGGAATGTTAGTGACATATAGGTGTTCCTTTACCGGAATGTAAGTGACATGGGTATTCCTTCACCAGAGTGTAAGTGATATAGGTTTTCCTTCACCGGAATGTAAGTGACATGGGTGTTCCTTCACCAGAGTGTAATTGTCAAGGTGTTCCTTCACCGGAATGTTAGTGACATGTGAGTTCCTTCACCGGAATATTAGTGACATGGGTGTTCCTTCTCCGGAATGTTAGTGACATATAGGTGTTCCTTCACCGAAATGTAAGTGACATGGGTATTCCTTAACCAGAGTGTAAGTGATATAGGCTTTCCTTCACCGGAATGTAAGTGACATGGGAGTTCCTTCACCGGAATATTAGTGACATGGGAGTTCCTTCACCGGAATATTAGTGACATGGGGGTTCCTTCACTGAAGTGTAAGTGACATGGGTGTTCTTACATCGGAGTGTAAGTAACATGGATGTTCATTCACCGGAATGTTAGTGACAAGGGTGTTCCTTCACCGGAGTTCAAGTGACATGTGTATTCCTAATTCAGAGTGTAAGTGACATGGGTGCTCCTTCACCGGAATGTTAGTGACATAGGTGTTCTTTCAACGGAGTGTTAGTGACATAGGTGTTCCTTCACCAGAGTGTAATTGACATGGGTGTTCCTTCACCGGAATGTTAGTGACATGGGTGTTGTCCTTCACCAGATTGTTTGTGATATAGGTGTTCCTTCACCGGAATATAAGTGACATGGGTGTTCCTTCACCGGAATGTTAGTGACATGGGTGTTTCTTCACCGGAATGTTTGTGACTTAGGTGTTCCTTCACCGGAATGTTCGTGACAAAGGTGTTCCTTCACCGGAATGTTAGTGACGTGGGTGTTCCTTCACTGGAGTGTAAGTGACATGGGTGTTACTTCACCGGAATGTTAATGACATGGGTGTTACTTCACCGGAATATAAGTGACAAAGGTGTCCAATCAACGGAGTGTAAATGACAAGTGTGTTCCGTCACCGGTATGTAACTAGTGACATAGGTGTTCGTTCACCGGCGTGAAAGTGACATGCGTGTTCCTTCATTAAAATGTAAGTGTCATGAGTGTTCCGTCACCGGAATGTTAGTGACATAGGTGTTCCTTCACCAAAATGTAAGTGATATGGGTTTGCCTTCACATGAATATAGGTTTTCTTTCACCAAATTGTTTGTGACATATGTGTTCCTACACCGTTATATTTCGAACATAGGTGTTCCTTCAACGTAATGTTTGTGACATGTGTTCATACACCGGATTGTATGTGACATAGGTGTTCCTGCCCCAGTATGTTTGAGATATGGGTGTTCCTTCACCGGAATGTGAGTGACATGGGTGTTCCTTCACCGGAATGAAAGTGGCATCGGTGTTCCTTCACCGGAATGTTAGTGACATGTGTGTTCCCTCACCGGAATGTTAGTGACATGGGTGTTCCTTCACCGGATTGTTAGTGACATAGATGTTCCTTCACCGGAATGTTAGTGACATGGATGTTCCTTTACCAGATTGTTTGTGACATCTGTGTTCCTACCGGTATGTTTCGAACATAGGTGTTCCTTCTGCAGAATGTTTGTGTCATATGTGTTCATTCAACGGATTGTTTGAGACATAGGTGTTCCTTCACCGGAATGTTAGTGACATAGGTGTTCCTTCACCGGAGTGTTTTTGACATAAGTGTTCCTTCACTGGAGTGTTTTTGACATATGTGTTCCTTCACCGGAGTGTTTGAGACATATGTGTTCCTTCACCAGAATTTTTGGAATATATGTGTTCCTTTCCCGGATTGTTTGTGACATAGTTCCTTCCCCGTATTGTTTGTGACATGTGTTCCTTCCCCGGATTGTTTGTGACATGTGTTCCTTCCCCAGATTGTTTGTGACATAGTTCCTTCCTTGGATTGTTTGTGACATGTGTTCCTTACCCGGATTGTTTGTGACACAGTTCCTTCCCCGGTTTGTTTGTGACATAGTTCCTTCCCCGGATTGTTTGTGACATGTGTTCCTTCCCCGGGTTGTTTGTGACATGTGTTCCTTCCCCGGATTGATTGTGACATGTGTTCCTTCCCTGGATTGTTTATGACATGTGTTCCTTACCCGGATTCTTTGTGACATGTGTTCCTTCCCCGGATTGTTTGTGACTTGTGTTCCTTCCCCGGATTGTTTGTGACATGTGTACCTTCCCCGGATTGTTTGTGACTTGTGTTCCTTCCCCGGATTGTTCGTGACATGTGTTCCTTCCCCGGATTGTTTGTGACACAGTTCCTTCCCCCGATTGTTTGTGACATGTGTTCCTTCCCCGGATTGATTGTGACATGTGTTCCTTCCCTGGATTGTTTATGACATGTGTTCCTTACCCGGATTCTTTGTGACATGTGTTCCTTCCCCGGATTGTTTGTGACGTGTGTTCCTTACCCGGATTGTTTGTGACATAGGTGCTTCCCCGTATTGTTTGTGACATGTGTTCCTTCCCCGGAGTGTTTGTGACATGTGTTCCTTCCCCAGATTGTTTGTGACATAGTTCCTTCCTTGGATTGTTTGGGACATGTGTTCCTTACCCGGATTGTTTGTGACATGTTTTCCTTCCCCGGATTGTTTGTGACATGTGTTCCTTTCCCGGATTGTTTGTGACATGTGTTCCTTCCCCGGTTTGTTTGTGACATGTGTTCCTTCCCCGGATTGATTGTGACATGTGTTCCTTCCCTGGATTGTTTGTAACATGTGTTCCTTCCCCGGATTGTTTGTGACTTGTGTTCCTTCCCCGGGTTGTTTGTGACATGTGTTCCTTCCCCGGATTGATTGTGACATGTGTTCCTTCCCTGGATTGTTTGTAACATGTGTTCCTTCCCCGGATTGTTTGTGACATGTGTTCCTTTACTAGATAAGGGATGATGAGACGTTCTCTGTCTATTTTTCCTATTTAAGTCAGAGTGATTTTTCTATTGATGCAGGTATAACGATAGATTCAACTCCCAGCGATAGATTTACGTTGGGAAAGACAAGTACCAGACCTCAAACATGACTTTTAATTTCCAAGAGGTATCCTTCATATTACGGGATGTTTGATGAGGAAAATGTCGTGCATTGCTGTTTGAATTTAAATTAGTTTACATATCGTAATAGCATAAAGATAACCAAGATATCAAGAACTTATTAAATCATTATCATATCTATCTATCTATTTATCTATTTATATAGAGCCAACGCCAGTTCAAAAGTTGGTGTGGTGTTCAGTGTAGTGCTGCCCTTGAGCGTGGATACCCAAGGTATGCAGGGCAATTAATGAAATAAGAGAACATTAACAGGAACAATCAATCACAACATGCTCAAGTACATGTATATATAACATATGAACTACCTGTTGCGATTGTACTGTATTAATATTGGTACAATTCGTATCCATGTATATATCTATACCTTGCTCTCCAGGTACTCACAACATCAATAGACGATTTGTCATTATGACCATGTGAAGAGTACCGGGCTGCTTACCACTACACCTTCGAAACCTTCATTTTTTAAAGAAGATAATCATGGTATGGTAAGTGGTAGGAGCGGCGGATATTACAAGGTTAGGCAATTTGGTGCCACAGATCGCGGGTTCGAGACCAAGTCAAGGCACTTGTCACACAATTGTCTTCCTTCGTCACGTGTGTTTCTATGCCTTTATTCAATTAATAAACACAATGTATCGTATACAAGTTTGTTTGTTTATCCGAAGTTTTAACATGTGAAGTACCTGTCGTAATTGTACTGTGTCTTATAAATCCGTATAATGGAAAATGAAAGTCATGGCTAAGGGCCAGAAATGAATCTACGCGACATGGGTGAACAAAAGCATTGTTGTGGGTTTTGTAAACTTACCCTTCTATGTAAAAAAAAAATAAGGTCACCACCTACACACATAGGTAACTCGATCGTTTAATCGTGTATTGTCTGCACGTAAAAAACTACGGAACCTGTGGAAGCCAAAAGTGAAAATGTATTTAAAATTTAAGAATCGTTTGCTTAGATGTGTCCGATCTAAAAATTAAACAATTCTAGCACTGCCCAACCACGAACTCGTGTACAGCTGAGTAGACTGGAACAAGTGGAGTAAAGTGTCTTGCTCAAAAATGCAACACAGTGCCATGATTCGAACCCGCAACCTTTCGGTCACGAGCCCGGTGTCCTATCACTAGACTGCCGTGCCTCCTAGGCCTGCTGATCATGCTAATAACAGGCTAATGATAGGGACCAAGAGATACATCACTGACTAATAGATTAGGGTGTGCATTTCGAAGCCCGGGGCCCGTTCCTGAAACCATTCCAGGGAAGAATCTTGTAACTTATTGAAACTATGCAACACAGTCAATCAGTGAAAAATCTAGACAACTATTTAACAAAATGAGTGTTTCATTCAACGTCAATAGCTTAGAGTTTTAATGATAAAAAACATATCAAATGTCAGGGAACGTTGGTCAAGTTCATTTTTTTCTGTTTCAACTGGTATACCATACTAAAATTTAGGGATTAACAGTATGAAATGCAACCACTTGCTATACAACTATGCCGTGACTTTCCAGAAACTTGCGTAGGAGCAATTTCATGCTTGAGAAGACTGTAGCATATAGTCTATACTCTGATCACGAAACTTATAAATTACTAAGGAAGATTTTGGGACGGAAAGAACATGGCTAAAAGGATGTGGTCAATTGGTGTCCTGCTGGTCATTTGTATGCGAACAAACGTCTCCGGACATGCTGACGTTGTCGATCCACCAAGTAGGGGACTGATGGAAGGTTACCACACCCCCTGGGGAGTCAATTGTGGAGGGTTATCGGTAAATATATTATATGTTAAGTCGACATGAATTTAATGCCGTTGTTAAAAAAAAAATCTTTTTTTTTTTATTTTGAAATATATTAAAGGGTTTATTTTCGTTGCAGGTTTTTGACGTGTTTATGTATCAATCAGTTTATGATATGTCGTTATTCTTTACAGAAACAAACTTCAAACGGCGGAAAGTGTGGACCATGTGGCGACGATTTTACTCAGTCAGTACCCCGCGACATGGAGGAGGGGGGGAAATATGGCAAACAAATGAAATTAGGGAAGGTGTACAACGAAGGTGAAGAAATATCTGTAGTTATCAGAGTCACAGCAAACCACAAAGGTTTCTTCGACTTCAAACTCTGTCCAAGCCAAAATATCCAGAGGCGGACAATAGAGCTCGAGGAATGCCTAGCAGAGTATCCGCTGGACATCATTGATACAAACGCAGGAACACGAGGCAAGAAGTGGCCCCTGGGTGAAGGAACTGGCGAAATTACACACCTTAAGGTTGTACTGCCCACTGGCGTCACGTGCGCCCACTGCGTTCTTCGTTGGGATTGGATAGGAGGTAAGTAGTTTTGGTCGGACGTTTTACCTTTAAAACAAATGGTATTACTTCATCTGTTTAAAGAAAAAAATCAATTTCAGAGCATTTTCTCCTTTTTATTTAGAAGATGAAATAAAAAAGAACTTTTTTCTTGGTTAAGAATTACTTCCCATGTAAAGGGTTTTAACTCTCATGTTTATGCTGTGTACATATTGTCCACGGATATCTCCATTGGCAGAGGGAAGGATGACAGTGTAAAGATGCTGAGGTTTTTTGTTTTTTGTTTTAATTCTTTTTTTCTAAACGTATTGAACAACTATAATTATGTAAAACTCATCGCGAGATGTGATTTATATAAAACACTTCTTTGTAGAAAAGATCTTTAACAAATATTCCATGACAGTGACAGTAGAAATACAATATTCAAATTTGAAGGTATTCTTAACCTTAAAGTTTTAAATGGTTCTGGCTAAGACCTTATGCTTTGTGCGATGACGACAGAAACGGATGACATAATGCTTGTTTAACCATTTTCCAATGTAATTACATGAAAAGGCTTCTCAAAACATCATCCTATACACCTCCATCACACACGTATAGGCACTTACATATATGGAGGCAATAGCAAGGTGGCATATGACCAGTAGCTAGCGCCTGAAAAGACAGCTTCTGCATTATCATCATATCATTGATTGTGTTAATTTATTTTTGAATTGTATATCTATGCTCTGTGCAGCGCCTAAGAATGACTTTTTCTACCCAGATAAAGCGCTATATCAAATATAGTATAGTAATCATTATAATTAATCTTCAATCCATTATAAAGATTACTACTTATTCAGATCGTTTAACGAAAAGACTTTTTTTGTAAAGGCATACTATAATTTAGGAGTCGGGATAAAACCCAGATGTTCCCACATACTATATGGTATCCACTGCTAGTCTTATTCAAGAATTAAACTAGTTTTAACAATCATCTCGTATATACCCGTTTCACCATTTTGCGTGTGTGTGATGGCTTGGCATGAACATTGATTGTTAATCTAATTGGAAAAAAACCGCAATTTCAATGATTTGTATTGTTTGTTATTTTTTTTTATACTATTCACTCTCTCATGGCGTCTTATTCGCCATTGTGTGAACATAAAAAACAGGCCAAAACATTTGATATAGCAGACTGAAGGGAACTTGATGATGAAAGTGCGTGTTGAGCGCCTATGTTTAATTTGATATATAAGAATGTAAAAACGTAGAGGCGGAAAGTGCGTGTCACAACGTGACCAGCCGATAGTTACACACCATAATTTTGACATACATGTATCATGTTTCTAGTGGCGTGTTTTTTCATCCTATAGCAATTACACGAGGAATGACCAGGTATTTTTATGAAAAGCCTTTAACATCTTCACGTATCATTAAAGCTTGGGAGAATTTTTTCTTTAAAAGAAACTAGGCTAATATTTGATTACATCTTATTTGATACGTACAGTGTTTACACTTTTTAGAGGCGCTTTGAATACTCATCTGAAATAGTTTGATCTCAAACATTGTCTAGTATCTTGTGGCTCTTTTGATCTTGTCTCATTGGCTTGATACGGTTTCTATGGTCTGACTGAGTTTTGTGGTTTTATTCCAATATTAAGGTCAGTTCTTTTATTATAGCCAGTCGGTTTATCTAAGTATTATGGCCTGGTCCTATTAGTCTTGTTTGCTCCTCTGTCTGGCCCCATTGGTATGATCTAAGTATTATTGACTGGTCACAGTAGTCTAGCTTGCTCCTCTACCTGGCTCTATTGGTATGATCTAAGTGTTATGGCATGGTGCAGTTAGTCTAGTTTGCTCTCCTACCTGGCCCCATTGGTATGATATAAGTCCTCTATACACAGCACAACACCTAAATAGCAAATAGCTGCTCGACCGATAGCACGGACGGAGTTGTCATTTATTCATAAATATAATATAAAGATAATAACAAAATAACTACTCTGACTTCATTTACCGTACACACAAACAATCTTCCCACGTATACCCTCGCATGGTCCATCGCCCTACAAATGTAAAACCAAGCGCGCCACCCAACCTGAAAACCTTATTAGGCGCGACAGGAGGTGTACCAGCCCGACAATGCTTAAGGTGTTTTACAAAATTGATGCTGGGATTTCTTAAATATGACGATGCCCACACATACATCTGTTACATATAAACATAACATTCTGCTATAATTTTATTTTCAAACTGTACTACGCCGTGCGAGGTGCGAAGCTAGAATGAACATACACGTACCCGTAAACTACCCTTAGCATGTGCCTCAATCCGATTGGTCAAAACCCCTGAACGAGACAGGCAACTGCTCTCGTATACCCCGTGTATACAGGACAAATATTTCCCGCTATTCTCCGAAACGCGGGAAAGTAATAGTATTATTACCTAGTCCCATCAATCTCGTTTGCCCCCCTGGAACCATTGGTATGATCTAAGTATTAATAGTCTAGCTTGCTCCGCTGTCTGGACCCATTGGTATGGTCTCATTATTAATAGTCTAGCTTGCTCCGCTGTCTGGAACCATTGGTATGATCTAAATATTAATAGTCTAGCTTGCTCCGCTGTCTGGACCCATTGGTATGGTCTCATTATTAATAGTCTAGCTTGCTCCGCTGTCTGGAACCATTGGTATGATCTAAATATTAATAGACTAGCTTGCTCCGCTGTCTGGCCCCATTGGTATGGTCTAAGTATTAATAGTCTAGCTTGCTCCGCTGTCTAGCCCCATTGGTATGATCTAAGTATTATGGTCTTGTCCCATTATTCTAGTTTGCTCCCCTACCTGGCCCCATCGGTATGGTCAGAGTATTATGGTCTGGTCACAGTAGTCTAGTTTGCTCCTCTACCAGGCTGCATTGGTCTTATCCATGTAATACGATGTGGCCCAAATAATCCGGTCAGCTCTCATATTCTAGGTTCCGTTTTAAAAACAGACGAAACAGATGTAACTTACACATGGGTGCAAGTTGTATGTAAGAAGCACGTAAAAGTAGAAAGCACAGTCGGAACACTTCTGTAGACCAGGTAACCCAGTCGGTTAGAGGGAGAGTATAATAATATGCAGTCCATAGTTTTTTCATTTCAAATCAATTTTATTGTATTCAGAAAGATACAATTGGATTAGGCACAGGCATTGCCTATAAAGGCCCTTTCCAGAGAAAATACACACATTTCATACATTCATATATACATATATATATAGAGAGAGAGTATTATAGAGAAGATGTAGTATATGTTCGAATTAATAGGAGAATACTAGAACCATTTAATACATATTCACAAAAAATAATACATGTAACTAGAATATCATAGATTTTACCATTTCAATTAATATAGTCTATTTACTTCAATTATTAATAGCCTAGTGTTTGGTTGGAGGCACTTCAAAGAAATTGTCACTATACACAGTGCCATCCTTCCCAATTACACCAGAGTTATTGTTATAACATAGCAAATACAAACACATTGTAATGTAATTTTTAGTATAGTTTAAGTTAAAATCTTCCAGATTTGTCAATAAACTCCAGAACACATGAGAGAATAAATTTATTTGATTCACTGCTAAGGTTCATATCACCCGTAGTGAAAGTAACTGTATTTAAGATGATGTTGTCAATTTCGTTGTAATTAGATAAAGCATTGAATAAAACTTGTCTTTCATCTATATATTTGGGGCAATTGAGGAAGAAGTGATTTGCATCTTCAATAATAAAACCACAGTCACACTTAGGATTATCTGTAAGATGATCATTATATAAATCTGATTTTAATTGGCTGACTTTATTCCGTAGTTGACATAAAGTTATATTCAACTTCCTGGAGCCACCGTATTTAAAAATATCCGTACAGTTAGATGGTTGCAAAACGTATGTGCTTTCCTTAAGTAATTCCAGTTTTAACTGGCTCAATGTAGTGAGTTTTGGAAAAATACAGTCTGGCCTATTCCATAGAGACATCATTCTAGGAAAAAAACTATTTTTATACAAGTTGGTTCTGCACAAGGGAACAATAAAGTTTCTATGATGTCTAAGGCGAGGATTAATATCATTATTAAAATATGGTAGGATACAATCATAAAGATGGTCAGGACAGTCATGCTGCAGTATCTTGAAAAATAATATACATTGGTAATTATCACGTCTTATTTTTAGTTTATCTACCCCAACTTCCTTATATATTAAGTTATGACTTGTACCTCTTCTCAAACCTGATATAATTCTGAGACATTCTAATTGGACTGATTCCAATAAGTCACTTTCACCCTGGGTGCAATTATTCCACACAGCACAAGCATATTCAAGTGTTGGTCTTATAAAAGATTTATAAATTATTTCAAGAGATTTTCTATCTAGCTTGTGTTTGAGCATTCGCATTATTTGTAGTTTTGTACAGCTTTTTCCATATATATAATTAACTTGATCAGACCATGATCCACGACTATTAAAAAGCAGACCAAGATGTTTATGATTTTTGACATTTATAACGACACTATTTGAGAATACCAAATCTGGATGAGATGTCTCAGAATTATTTTTATTAGACATTAGTAATGATTCAGTTTTACTTGGATTAAATGATATTCCCCATTTATCAGCCCAGAGAGACATTCTCCTTAAATCCTCATTGAGAATATCTGCAGCATGTCTGCCGTCACCATCTATCAAAACGTAAAGAGAAGTGTCATCAGCAAAGAGTTTGACATGGGATTGGAGTTCATCTTCTAGGTCATTAATAAATATTAAAAATAAATAAGGCCCGAGAACCGAGCCTTGGGGTACACCAGCTTTTAATGTTTGTAAATTTGACTTGTAGCCATCTACTAATACCCTTTGTTGTCTATCAGTAAGATAGCAATGAATCCAGTTCAAAACGTCGTCACAAATTCCATATTTCTTCAATTTGTAAATCAATCCACTGTGCCAAACCCTGTCAAAAGCTTTGCTGATGTCACAAAATACTATCCTTGCCTCTTTTCCTTGATCAAGTTGTTTTGAAGCTTCATCATATAAATATATTAATTGGTTAACTGTGGAGTCATTTGGAAGGAAGCCAGACTGATTTTTTGATATAACATTATTCTCAGATAGAAAATTAAAGAGATGTTTAAAAACTATTTTTTCAAGAAGTTTACTAAATAACGATGTGACAGAGATTGGTCTATAGTTACTGGGGTCACCTCTTCCTCCCTTGCCCTTATATATTGGGGTAACATTAGCACACTTCCAAATATTAGGTATGCAACCAGTGGATATGGATTTGTTAAAAATTAACAGTAAGGGCTTTACAAGAGAGTCAGCAATACCTTTAATAAAATAAGGGGGAAGTGCATCTGGACCAGCAGGTTTTTTTACATTAATAAGTTGGAGCTGATCATGAACATCCTGTTCAGTGATAATAATGGAAGATAATTTTTCTTGTGAGATAGGACAATTAGGAGGAATGTCAAGGTCAGTTTTGTCAGAAGTAGAGACAGAGGTGAAGTATGAATTAAAAGATTCTGCTTTATCCACAGGATGTGATTTAAGTTCACCATTTATTACAAGAGGAGCATCATTGTTTGATTTATTGTTAATGTTCATAATAGACTTTGCAACCCGCCACCACTTACCTGGAGGAATAGATTTGTCAATAAGGGAATTTTGGAGTTTAAGTAGATATTTTTGCTTAGCTTCTCTTACAAGGTCAATAACTGTGTTTCGCATATCTCTAAATTTTTGCCAGGCTGCAGTAGTATTAGTATGTTTGGCCCTGGTATGTTGACGATTTCGTTTCCTAATGTGTAATCTAATATCATTGTTCATCCAGACTTTATCATTTGGACGAATAGTGACAACTTTATGTGGTACATATTTTTCAATACAATTATGAATTTCACTGGAAATAAAATTATTCATAGTCTCTATATCAACATTTTCATTCAAACATGTATCCCAATCAATATTAGATAAATAGATGTTAGCATTAACAAAGTCAGTATCACTAAAGTACATAATTGTCTTTTTATATGCAGATTTCTTGTGAGTTTTGAAAGATATATTGCAACTAATTGGACTGTGGTCACTACAAATTGGAGTTTGGACAGAGGGATTTTTTACTATATCAGTATTGTTAGTCATAATAATATCGAGAGATGTCGAAGAGGTAGGAGTAGTTCTTGTAGGTTCGTGAATAATATTAGTAATGCCAAACTTAGTCATAATCCGCATGATGTGAGAATTTGGTTGTACGTTTAGCATATCCTGATTGATGTCTCCAATAAGTATATAATCTTTACCAAGTTCAGTGATATTACCCAAGACATCATCAAGTTTACTCCAATAATCCACAACAGAGTTTGGGGGTCTATAGATGCAACCTAACAGTAATTTTTTATGACTAAGGGTAATTTCAATCCAAATGATTTCTAAATCTGCTTTCTCTAAGTCTAGTCTCCTTTTAGATATAATTTTGTCATTGGTATAAATAAGAACTCCTCCACCTCTTCTATCAAGTCTGTCTTTACGGAAAGTATGAGGGTGATCAGATAAAGAAATAGCATCGTCAGGGATAGAGTCATTGAGATGAGTTTCAGTAAGGCAGATGATGTCATGATCAGCCAGTTCAGTCTCAAGGATATCAGTTTTATTTCTAAGTGAGCATATATTCAAATGTGCAATTGATATGTCTTCAATGAGTGAGTAATTTCCCATATTACCTGTAGGACCGGGATTGGTATGGATATCCATACACAGTAAAATAAGTTTAATTTTGATGATAAGCATAAATATTATATTAAAAATATTCTCTCCATGTGAACTGTGTAGATATGAAAAAATCAATTTCATTTTGGTAAGTGATATTATGCTATGCGTCACACCCAACACACACATGCTACAATCAGCTAAGATTATCCTAACCGTTATCAATATTGATGAATGATATGAGGTTTCTAACAGTATGTGGTAGGCATGACGTACAGCAACATTATACACAAGATCTGTTGACATTGGTTCTCGATAATAAATCAATAGCAAAAGATTAGTAAGTGTGAATATATGAAATGTATGCAGGTGATACTTCAATGAAAATATGTTTGAAATGATAGGATAATTATAGGGACAGTCACTATTTACAATATGTACATACAAGTACAAACATAGCAACATACTTACACCAGCGCTGGACCTGGACACATTCTCAGCCTTCCATTCATTGTCATTAGGACACTCATGTTACTATAGCTATATTTACAACACATTCAAACATTCAACCGATAAAGAGTATGCACGCTTGCAATTACGTGGTACATGCGGAAAAATCAAATGGTAATAGCCGCGGGTGTATAATACAGAGGGGTTCCGATTAGAATTAGTTCAAACCGCCGATACAGCCAATTAATGGTAGGAGTTCATAACAAAAACATGACCACGTGTTTGGTACCAGTACCGAATCAGGATTTAATATGTATATTGTCATCGAGAAACCAGGGGTGCCGAAGTGGGGTTAGTTCACATGAATGTTGAAAAGGACTATACGTAGTCAATAATAGTTACTTTGATTAAATTCGTAGTATTATAGGATTGTTTCAGGGTTGAAGGTATATGTATATAACGTCAATATTACATGTATTTGGATACATATAAATATATTTAGTTTTAAGCATTTGCATATGTACATTGCTATAAACACATAGATAGGGGTAAATACTGAATTGTATACATATACACACACCTACACCCAGTCAGTCGATTACTGTATCTAGTCCATTTCATTCGCGTTCACACAGTAGTGATATTTCAATACGCATACAGTAACTGGTATCATTCAAGTTGACATATATTATAACACATTGGTAATCAAAATCCAAGTCGGATCATGCGTGGCTGTGGGGAGGGGGTGTCAGATACATAGGAATGTATCAGAATGATACCAGCAGCTGCATGAATTTATATGTATATAAAAAACATACTCACTTGTAGGTACACGTGTTCCATAACTTATACATGTATATATCATAATATTTTTTAATGCATACACAAAGCTAACATACCTTACCTATTACGATATACTTATAGGTGTATTGACATGATTTTCCTATTATATACATATAGACAAATTACATGTCTTTATACGTCTCTGCACGTACATGAAAGTTACTCAAGTACTGATTAAAGGGACTACTGAGTGTTACTGTCAGAGCACTGGGGGTCAGGGCTGAGTGCAGCAAACATGTTCATGTGTTGCTGACGCTTACCCTGTTTCCGATATATGTTGTCACCAGATGCAGAGCGTTGAGGGATGGATTCACGGAAAGGGGTGGCGGACCGGGTGTGGCTTGGTTTAGGCGATATTTTCGGTTTATCCTGTAGGGTTGTCCTGGGCCGAGTATACGTACTGGGCTTGTTGGGTCTGGTCGGTGGGTCAGGGTACGCTGATAGTTCCTCAAGTGAGGTGACTTGTGTGTATGCACCATGTGTATCTCGAATGATAATCCTGCCGTCACGGGTCCACGTACCTTCGATGAGGCCTGATTTCTTTATATGTCTGGCTTTCGCGAATACGATGGCGCGCTGTTTGGTGAGCGCTTCATTGATATATATGCCCGGGTGTCCATCTCCGTCTGATGTTTTACTGAGATCGGAATCTTTATGCCATAGTTGGGACCTAGCGTCATACACTGCCGCTGTAGTGCGGTATGAGAGAAACCGTACTATTATATCCCTAGGGCGACCGGGTGATGGCGGACCGGTTCTGTGTGATCTGCCAATGTCGTGAAGTTCGACCATGACCCCTAATTTATGATTTATGAGATCCAGAACTAAAGTATCAGTGTCTTCACCTTCACTCTCGGGTAATCCACGAAATTTTAGGCAAGTGCGACGAGAATATTGTTCCATGTCGCCGATTCTATTTTCGAGCGACTTTATTTGATCATGTATGTCCGTGATCCCGAGAGCGGCTACCAGAGTAGATTTAAATAGGGAATTTGAAAGTAATTGATTCACTACCTCTTGAATAGTGTCCGGATCCGTTATTCCTTGAATGATATTCACACTTTTTTTGATAGCAGGCGATAGACTGGGAGTAGAATCCATGATGAGTTTTACCAATGGTCAGTCTATACATGTAATACAAGATGGCGACCGCTCATACGTGTAGCGTACAGCACCTCAGCATTTCAAGTTGAAAATTGAGGACACGTTTTATATTAAATTCAAAAATAATAGGCTTGTCTATTAAACATAGTCCTTACACATTTTTTTGAGCTATAAATACCTCGGTAACGGGTTGATGTTTTGAATAATGGAAGGATTTAGAACATTATCCAGGACCGCTTCAACTATGTGACCATCACATTGACCGGAAGTACCCTCCATAGTTCGATTCCTGATCATGCTAACTGTCATATCCGGGAAGACGATTCAAGCTGTTATCAATGGTGCTTGCCTCTAAAATCATCGTAGCGTTTCAGAAAAGTGTTTTCCTCTTGCTCATATAACTTCAATAACGGATGGAGTATCTTGATCAGGTGTGGGTGTTTGTGGTTGGACATTCATGTGAGGTTTTACTATGGCCAAAGATAACCTTCGAGTCACGGTTCTAGCGCAAAAATTGATCTTGGAAAACAACACCAATGCATTTATCAATTCCAGCTCAGACGCGGGCAAACATACGTGTATGAATTGTAATATCATATATTGTAGAGCTATTTAGAGTTAATAATCGCAGCTAAATACGACGTTATATTATTGAATGTACAATAATTATTATGTATCCTTTTTATTTATTATAAAGTAAAATATGAATATGTTCTATCAATAACTCCTCTTTTATTTCAAAGGAAACAATTGCTGTGGAAATCCGCAAGAAGAGTTCCGGAACTGCATGGATATTGGTATAAAAGGGGACCCCAATAAGACCCCTGCGCCCACTACCCTGGCCCCTACGGCGGCTCCTACCCGGTCCCCTATTGTGACATCCTGTCCAGCAAACTTCGTGCTCGAGTGCATGTCAGTTCCACCACTGCCCAGGATTGATTGTGTGAACGATTGGTGTAATGACCAGTGCAGCGCCAAGACGACCGAATGTACAAGCGACAGATGTGAATGCAAGTGTGAAATGCGGGACAGAAATTGTACCTTCGTGCACCCCAGATATTCCAGTCTGATTTCCGACTCCGACGCCTGGTGTAATGCTATGTGTAGCAGAGGAGCCTGCAGCAAGGCGCACTGTAATTGTATATATTACTGATATCTGACCAAATGCTGACCTGCCTGATCCATCCCCATACAAAATAAGTACTTATCTCTTTACCCGCAACTTGTTCTTCCTGCTTATATTTAATTATAATTGTCTGTAACGTTTTCATGGTACGTGTAACATTTGATTGATACCGAGTGAAATTAAAAAACCATCATGATATCTATGTTCGCAACGAAAGTTGATATCTTATTAAAATGAATGGCATACACATTTTTCGTTGTTCTTCGGATATTATTATCTTCTTTGATTAACTATTTGTTTCCATACAATTACGAACACAGGTATCACCATGTATTGGAAGTGTTTCACAGCACAATCCGGTTTTAGTAAAGGAAAAGATATAATGGTTTTTAACTACCGAGGAAAGAGAACTCATGAAAACACGTTTTTTTGTTATTTTGAAAATGTCACTATCACGTCATCAATACATACAGCGTAACCATATCACAGAGGTACACTGTGGTGTCATAACTTTTGTCAAACATTCCATGCACCATTGATGATGGCGCAGTGCATGGAGTCCATTAACGTTAGAATTGAAGCATGAGAGAACATGTATCAGTCACTCCTGTGTAATGATGAAAGAGAAATCACAACACTTTGGATACGATTTTTGAAGTTTAACACTCGGCAAATCCTCATCCTGAACCGTAATGATCTTACTCTTAGGTTGGGATTTCTGTCTACAATACACAGAAGTAAAAGATTCTACCAATTTTCATCTGCTCTGTAAATCTACCTACAAAGAACCTCAGTTTTTTTGGACAATGATGGCTGCATTTACCCCTTCAAATATAGACTTTAAAGATAGAAGACCTTCATCAACTCGATCTACAAATTATTCAAGCATGACAACTTTCATACCGATTTTCTTTCCCAATGTTTAATACATTTACTGCAAAAAAAATGCAAACAATGGTTTATTGTGGAACATTTTATTTATTGTTTCAAAGAAGGCCAGTCACTTTTATTCTGTAAACAGGCTTTGAAAGTTTTATGTTTTCCTCTATAGTCATGAAAAGACAGGTGGAGTTTGCTTGACGTTTAAGGAAGTTAGACCATGCGTGGTAAAAACTCGTAGTAATGTTCGCTAAACCATAATTAGTGTCATGGCCGGTAAGTGAAGTGGACAGTGAGCATTTCCACAAAAGATCTTACGATAAATTTCACTCGTAAGAGAAAACTTCCGATTTTGTTCCTTTTCACAAAAATTCTTACGAGAATCTTAAGTGAAAAAATTAACGTAGCTTTACGATAGCTTGACCCCTCTCTTAAGTGTGAAGTTTTATCGTAAGTGTAAATATATATAATGATTTTAATCGTAATTCTAAATATACTTAGCTACTACTTTTGGTTTGAAAATGAATTAAAGAGCGATGCATTGTGAAAAGTTTTTTCAATGCAGATTTAACCACCGCACGTAAGCCATGCCTTTCCTTAGTTGTGATACTTTCAGTTATTTTCGGTAAAGGAGGTGATTAATGCTGTTTAGGTTAGATAGCTTGGATCGGTTGAGATGAGTTCAATCTATGTACATGCATCTCAATATTGAAGCACAGTCCTTAACAAATCCAAACTTCCAAATCGGTGCCAAAAAATAGTATTTGTATCGGTACCGGTCACGTGCTTCCAATGGCAATCTTTTCCCCTGAATTCTTCCTGCTAATAATCAAAACCAGAGATCGAATTCCGTAGTGGAGATGTTTTTTGTTAAAAAGATATTTAGATATATATACCCATTTGTAAATTTGCAAGAAACTCCTCGTAAAAAAAATACCGAACAAATTGAAACGCTTCCTCGTTGAAGATAAAATTAACACAGAACACGTATTATTACATTTTTGATAAATATTGTCAAAAATGAATTCTAATGTGTTCCCGGAAAATCCCTGGAAATTCGATTTATTTTTTTTTAATTTTTTTTTTTTTATCTAAAATGATGTGAAAAGAAAATAATACATATAAGATTGTTAAGGACGTGATCAGCTTGTATTGGCTAGCTAATGACAAACTTACATGTTTTCCCAGAGTTCACGGGAGACATAATGACGGGTGCCAAACTGGTGCAACTACGGACTATCTAGTTTCGTCTCCGTTTCATAACGCCATATTTTCGGTGTCTTATTGGTGAAACCCGACAAGTTGTTGAGATTCTGACGCACCTGAGTTGCTCCCCTTCCTACATAAACGATACGAACACTGTTATTTATTTTAACTACTTTTTTACTTTTCTACTGAAAAAGGTTTTCTTGTTGTATATTTTTCCTTTCAGGGAACGCTATGTAGACTACACATTTTCCGTAATAATTTATAATAAAATGTATTCATATTTTCTTTTTCAATTACAATTTAGCGGTTGAAATTTGTTTTGTTTTAAAATTGATTTGTTTACATTGGGAATCTTCTGGAAACAGAATAGAATTTCCATTTTTACATCTCAAAAGACACAAACCAGCCTTGTACAAAACACAGATAAACATAAGTGTACAGAACACAGATCCACATTAGTGTACACAACACAGATAAACATTAGTGTACATAACACAGATAAACATTAGTAAACACAACATAGATAAACATTAGTGTACATAACACAGATAAACATTAGTGTACATAACACAGACCACATTAGTGTACACAACACAGATAAACATTAGTGGACACAACACAGATATACATTAGTGTACATAACACAGATCCACATTAGTGTACACAACACAGATAAACATTAGTGGACACAACACAGATAAACATAAGTGTACAGAACACATATCCACATTAGTGTACACAGCACAGATAAACATTAGTGTACATAACATAGATAAACATTAGTAAACACAACAAAGATAAACATTTTCGGACACAACATAGATAAACATTAGTGTACACAACACAGATCCACATTAATCTACACAACACAGATCCACATTCGTGTACACAACATAGATAAACTTGAGTGTACACAACACAGATCCACATTAGTGTACACAACACATATCCACATTAGTGTACACAACACAGATATAGATTAGTGTGCTGGACACATAAAAACATTAATGGACTAACATTACTGCAGATTTTTTTTTAATTTAGTGTGCACAACATAGGAAAACGTTAGTGCGCAAAACATCAATAAGTATTACAGTTTAAAACATAGATAAACATAAGTGTACACAACACAGATAAACATTAGTGTACACAACACCGATCCACATTAGTGTACACAACACAGATCCATATTAGTGCGAAAAACATTTTTTGCACAACGTAGATGTTAGTGTGCACTACATAGAAAAACATAAGTATGTACTACATAAATAAACATTAGTCTACACAACATATATAAACATCAGTGTACATAACATAAATTAACATTAGCGTTCACAACATAGATAAACATTAGTGTACACAACACAGATCAACATAAGTGTACAAAACACAGATCCACATTAGTGTACACAACACAGATAAACATTAGTCTACACAACATATATAAACATCAGTGTACATAACATAAATTAACATTAGCGTACAAAACATAAATTAACATTAGCGTACACAACATAGATAAACATTAGTGTACACAACACAGATAAACATTAGTGTACACAACACAGATCCACATTAGTGTACAAAATATAGATAAAGTTTAGTGTACACAACACAGATAAACGTAAGTGTACACAACATAGATCAACATTAGTGTACATAACATAGATAAACATTAGTGTACACAACAAAGATCCACATAAGTGTACACAACACAGATAAACATAAGTGTACACAACACATATCCACATTAGTGTATATACTATAGATAAACATTAGTGTACACAACACAGACAAACATAAGGGTATACATCATAGATAAACATTAAAGAACACAACAAAGATAAACATTAGTGTACACAACATAGATAACATTAATGGACACAACCCTGATAAACAAAAGTGTACACAACATAGATAAACATAAGTGTACATGACATAGATAAATATTAGTGTACACAACACAGATAAACATTAGTGTAAACACACAGATAAACATTGGTGTACATAACATAGATAAACATTAATGTACACAGCACAGATAAACATAAGTGTACATAACACAGATCCACATTAGTTTACACAACACAGATAAACATTAGTCAACACAACATATATAAACATCAGTCTACACAACATATATAAACATCAGTGTACATAACATAAATTAACATTAGCGTACACAACATAGATAAACATTAGTGTACACAACATAGATAAATATTAGTGTACACAACACAGATCCACATTAGTGTACACAACATATGTAAGCATTAGTGTACACAACACAGATAAACATAAGTGTACACAACACAGATCCACATTAGTGTACACAACACAGATAAACATTAGTCAACACAACATATATAAACATCAGTCTACACAACATATATAAACATCAGAGTACATAACATAAATTAACATTAGCGTACACAACATAGATAAACATTAGCGTACACAACATAGATAAATATTAGTGTACACAACACAGATCCACATTAGTGTACACAACATATGTAAGCATTAGTGTACACAACACAGATTAACATAAGTGTACACAACACAGATCCACATTAGTGTACACAACACAGAATAACATTAGTCTACACAACATATATAAACATCAGTGTACATAGCATAAATTAACATTAGCGTACACAACATAAATTAACATTAGCGTACACAACATAGATAAACATGAGTGTACACAACACAGATCCACATTAGCGTACACAACACAGATAAACATAAGTGTACATAACACTGATCCTCATTAGTGTACACAACACAGATAAACATTAGTGTACACAACACAGATAAACATTAGTGTACGCAACGTCGATAAACATTAGTGTACACAACACAGATACACTTAAGTGTACACAACATAAATTAACATTAGTGTACACAACACAGATAAACATTAGTGTACACAACACAGATAAACATAAGTGTACACAACACAGATCCACATTAGTGTACACAACACAGATCCACATTAGTGTACACAACACAGATAAACATTAGTGTATATAACACAGATAAACATTAGTGTACACAACACAGATCCACATTAGTGTACAAAATATAGATAAAGTTTAGTGTACACAACACAGAGAAACGTAAGTGTACACAACATAGATCAACATTAGTGTA